TCTTCACTCCCACCCACAAACACACAATCCCCATGAATGCGAAACGTTGAAGGAGGACGGAAATTTGTTTCTTATGCCATATTTGAGAGTTTCAACACTACTTTACAGATGCATTAAGTGTTATGAAATCTCTGCTCTGTTTTGTTTATTTTTATTTTTTAAATTTTTTTTTATTGAAGTGTATTTGACACATAATATTATATTACTTTCAGGTACAGCATAGTGATTTGACAGCTCTGTACATTATGCTATCCTCACCACAAGTGTAGCTACCATCTGTCCCCATACCAGGTTCTTACAATATCATTGACTATATTTCTTATGCTGTGACTTTCATTCCCATGAAGTATTCATTCCATAATTGGAAGTCTGTACTTCCCACTTCCCTTCACCCATTTTACCCACCCCTCTCCCCCAACAACTATCAGTCTGTTTTCTGTATCTATGGGTCTGTTTCTGCTTTTGTTTGTTCATTCATTTGTTTCGTTTTTTAAATTCCAAAATATAAGCAAAATCATATGGTATTCATTTTTCTCTGTCTAATGTATTTCACTTAGCATAACAGCCTCTAGCTCCATCCATGTTGTTGCAAATCGCAAGATCTCATTCATTATTATGGCTAAGTAATATCCCATTGTACATATACTACATCTTCTCATCTTCTTTATCCATTTGTGAAATCTCTACTCTTTAAAATACTGATCTTTGAGGTACCTGGCAGGCTCAGTTGGATTGATCTTGGGATCATGAGTTTGAGCCCCACATTGGGTGTAGAGATTGCTAAAAAAATAAATAAATAAGCTTAAAAAAATACTGATCCTTACCCTTTGCAAAAGACAGTGAGTACTTACATCAGTGGGAATATCATTTAAACAAAAAATCAGCAAGGGAATAATGGCTTTCAGTGACACACCGGACAAGATGGACTTAACAGATACATTCGGAACTTCCCATCCTAAAACAGCAGAATACAGATTCTTTTCAAGTGCACACAGAACATTCTCCAGAATAGATCACATGTTAGACCACAAAACAGTCCTCAACAAATACAAGAAGATTGAAGTCATACCATGCACCTTTTATGACCACAAAACTATGAAACCATAAGTCAACCACAAGAAAAATCTGGAAAGAACACAAATACATGGAGGTTAAATAACATGCTACTAAAAAAATGAATGGGTCAATTAGGAAATAAAAGAAGAAATTTTAAAAATACATGGAAACAAATGAAAATGGTCCAAAACACAATGATCCAAAACCTTTATGATACAGCAAAAGCAGTCTTAAGAAAGAAGTAAATAGCAGCACAGGCCTACTTCAAGAAGCAAGGAAAAATCTCAGATAAACAACCTAACCTTACATCTGAAGGAGCTAGAAAAAGAACAACAAATGAAGCCACTAATGAAAGAAATTGAAGATAACACAAAAAAGTGAAAGATACTCCATGTTCACGGATTGGAAGAACAAATATTGTTAAAATGTCAATACTATCCCAAACAATCTACACATTTAATGTAATCCCTAACAAAACACCAATAAACATTTTTCACAGAACTAGGACAAACAATCCTAAAATTTGTATGGAACCACAAAAGATCCTAACTAGCCAAAGCAATTTTGAAAAAGAAAAGCAAAACTGGAGGCATCACAATTCCAGACTTAAGTTATATTACAAGCTATAGTAATCAAAACAGTATGGTAAAGGCACAAAAATAGACACATAGATCAATAATACAGAATAGAAAACTGAGAAATGAACCCACAACTATATGGTCAATCTTTGACAAAGATTGGAAAGAATATCTAATGGGGAAAAGATGGTCTCTTCAACAAATGGTGTTGGGAAAACTAGTCAGCAACATGCAAAAGAATGAAACTAGACCACTTTCTTACAGCACACACAAAAATAAATTCAAAATGGATAAAAGACCTAAATGTGAGATAGGAAACCATCAAAATCCTAGACAAGAACACAGGTAGCAACTTCTTTGATATCAGCCATAACAACTTCTTACTAGATATGTCTCATGAGGCAAGGGAAACAGAAGCAAAAATAAACTAGTGGGACTTCATCAAAATAAAAAGTTTCTCCATAGCAGAGGGAACAATCAAGAAAACTAAAAGACAACCAATGGAATGGGAGATGTTTGCAAAAGACATATCTAATAAAGGGTTAGTATCCAAAATCTATAAAGAACTTATAAAACTCAACATCCAAAAAACCAAACAATCCAATTAAAAATGGGCAAAAGACATGAATAGACATTTTTCCAAAGAAGACACACAGAGGGTCAACAGACACATGAAGAGATCCTCAACATCACTAATCATCAGGGAAATGAAAATCAAAATTACAATGAGATATCACCTCACACAAGAAGCAACAGGTGTTGAGGAAGATGTGGAGAAAGGGAAACCCTCTTACACTGTTGGTGGGAAAGGCAAACTGGTATGGACACTCTGGAAAACAGTATGACCAAATTATGGAAATAGCTAAAGTGTCCGTCAAGTGATGAATGGAGAAAGAAGATGTGGTGTGTATGTATGAATTCATATATACACACACTAGAATATTACTCCACCATCAAAAAGAATGAAATCTTGCCCCTTAACGATGACATGAATGGAGCTAGAGAGTATTATGGTAAGCAAAATAAGTTAGAGAAAGACAAATACCATATGATTTCACTTTCATGTGGAATTTAAGAAAGAAAACAAACAAGCAAAAGGAAAAAAGAGAGAGAGAGAGGCAAACCAAGAAACAGACTCTTAACTATAGAGAAAAAACTGATGGTTACCAGAGGGGAGGTGTGTGGAGGGATGGGTGAAATATGTGATGGACATTGAGGAGGGTACTTGTGATGAGCACTGGGTGATGTATGGAAGTGTTGAATCACTATATTGTACACCTGAAATGAATATTACACTTTATGTCAACTAACTGGAATTTAAATAAAAACTTAAAAAAAAAACAAAAAACAAAAAGACGGGGAATGATATGCCGTGAAAGAGAGAATGGTTTTGGTCCTATTCTCACACAGAATTAAATGTTGCTTTCAAGATAATGGTAAAACAAACAAACAAACAAAAAACAAACCTGTCCTTAAACAATCAAACAAAAAATTTTAAATATTCAGGGTCACCTGGGTGGCTCAGTCAGTTAAGCGTCTGCCTTCAGCTCAGGTCATGATCCCTAGACACAGGGATCAAGTACCTGCTTAGCAGGGAGCCTGCTTCTCCCTCTCCTCCCAGCCTCTGCTCTCTCCCACTATCTCTGTCACTATTTCTCTCTCTCTCTCAAATAAATAAATAAAATCTTCAAAAAACTTCTTAAGATTTTAATATTCTAATTTGGTAAGGCAATTTTTTTTCAAGAAATAAAGTTCAGGGGTTCCTGGGTGGCTCAGTGGGTTAAAGCCACTGCCTTCGGCTCAGGTCATGATCCCAGGGTCCTGGGATCGAGCCCTGCATCAGGCTCTCTGCTGAGCAGGGAGCCTGCTTCCTCCTCTCTCTCTGCCTGCCTCTCTGCCTACTTGTGATCTCTGTCAAATAAATAAATAAAATCTTTAAGAAAAAAGAGAAAGAAAGAAAAAGAAAGAAAGAAAGAAAGAAAGAAAGAAAGAAAGAAAAGAAAAGAAAATTCATTACAAAACTACGTCCAATTTGAAGACTTGAAAGCCTTGGTTATAGTTCTGGCTGGCTGGCCCTCTGCCTTAATTTCTTCCAGGGGAGTAACTCCTCAGCACCCAGCTGAGTGGAGAAGTTGGGGCAATCCAGGGTGTGTACTCTTCAACTGCACTTCTTCTGCCATCCCATTCCTGTTAGGCACAAATAGGAGTTGTCCCAGATGTTTTCCATTTGTTAATATGGAAATGTTCCCCACCCCCTCCCTGGCCCCCATGTCTCCAGTCTGTTCCAATCTGGAAGGGTGGAGGGAGGAGTGAGGGGAGCAGGAGTGATGTTCTGAGGTCTAAGAGTTGCCCCAGGCGACATGACAGAGGAGTCAATAGGTCAGGGCTGAAAATGAGCCAGGAACTGCATGGTGGTCCTTGGTTGGCCAGGAAAAGAAGAGTTCTGTCTTTTCACTCAGGCAGCATTTTACACGCATGTGTATATTATATGTGTTTACAGATGTGGCTTTAAGTGTGTATTCAAAAGGATACATTGAGTGCCCTGTGTGCACACAGCCTCTACTGGAACCAGAGCTCAGAATATCGATGAGGTTAAAACTGACCCAGATCCCTGAGTCGGTCGATAAGGGGCAGGACAGTGGTCAAGGTGAACAGATAGGCTTGGTTCTCTTCATGTTTCCACAGAAGAAAGGAAGTGGTTCTGTCACACTGTTTTCTTTGTTGTTATTGTTGAAGTACAGACGACATAGGCTGTTACATTGGTTTCAGGTGTATGACATAGTGATTCCACAACTCCACAGGTTATGCTGTGCTCAGCGCAAGCATAGCTATCCTCCAGCACCATACAACACTAGCATGATACCACAGACGGTGGCAATGTGTTTTGTGGAGGAATAAATTTCCTTCGATTGGAGCAAGAGAAAACTATGAGAAAGAAGATGAAAAGGACAGGGTGTGAGCAGCATTGGACTCAGCCAGGATCCGTTCCTGGAACTTCTCTACTTGTTTCCGTGAGATCCCTCGCACAAGAGATTCCCCTCTGGGAACTTTCTGGAATATGTCCCTGAGAAACCCCTCTCCCAAATGGTTTTCAGAGACTCCATGAAACTGTCTACAAAGAGTATTCTTTGCAAGCAGAGTCATGCACCTGAAGCGAGTCTATTCCAGGTGCTGGGAGGAAACCACTCCGTCCTCCCCTCCTGGGAGCAGGGCTTCCGCCCAGCATCTTCGGGAAACTGGATCCTGACTCCGTGGGTCAGGCCCTCCGCTCTGCAGCCTGAGAATTAGTGAGTCTGGCAACTCAGACTGTGGGTTCTGAAACGTCTCTGTGATCGATGAAAATCCTTCTGATAGGACTTTTCACACCTTAACAAATTGGCTGCCCCCTCCTGAGGCTTGTGGGAGGCAGCGAGTGGCGGCCTGGAGAATGTGCCGGGGGACCTTGAACTCCTGGCCGGCTGCTCCTCTCTGGACGCCCATCACTGCTTTTCTCTGGAGTGCGCGTCTCCATGGCCACTCCCCGCCCACGACTGACTAAAGCAGACCAGTCCTGGGGAAGACGGGACCCCTCTGACAGCTGACTCGGGGACTCCCAGTGTCCCATGCCACTCCTCCCGCAGACTGTGAGGCTGCCCCTTCCAACTGACCTTCCCTGACTCGCCTTCGCCGGGGTCAGACTTGCACTGGCTGCTGACAGCTGTCCCAGCCTCTTGGGTTTTCTCCCCGTTTTCTCTCATTCAAGCATTTCCCCACCCCAAACCCCACACCCACTCCCCCAAAAAATCCTTGCCTGTTTGATACTCTCTTAGTATCTGCTTCTCAGAGGACCTGGACTAACACACATTGTGTTTAAGGCGATAAAATATAAGTGTTAAAGAGATATAAATGGTCCTATCTCCTGAAAATATTAGAGAAATCCAAGTTAGATGTAACCGATTTCCACGGAAAAGTTTCCAACTTAATTGAACATTTTGTAAAAGATTTTATGTATTTATTTGAGAGAGAAAGAATGAGAGAGAGAGAGAGAGCACAAGAGAGGGGAGGGTCAGAGTGAGGAGGGTCAGAGGGGGAAGCAGACTCCCTGCCTAGCAGGGAGCCGGATGTGGGGCTCGATCCAGGGACTCCAGGATCATGACCTGAGCTGAAGGCAGTTGCTTAACCAACTGAAGACACCCGGGTGTCCCTACGTTGAACATTTTAAAATTTATTTGACCAAAGCTGTCACCAACATTTGTAAAGTCCTCATTTCAACATCAGTTATGGAATGTAGAGTCAACAGTGATACGATGAAAGAATTTAGAATGGATCATTGAGTTGTTAAAAACCTGTACCAGAAATGATGTAAAGAATATTAAAAGTATGAACAAGTCATTATAAGGCTGCTGCTGCTGATGCGAATAATACATGAGCTCACCAGCCTTTCCTGTTCATCTGGCACTGCTCATGGTGCTTTGTCAGTCACCTCCCTTACCTTGCTAGTGTGTGCAGATGTTGTACAGAGACAACTGGCTTCTAACATTTTCCAAGATGAGAGTTTCTACCTTACTGCAATAAGTTAAGACAGAAATATAAGAATGTATATATGCCCGCAGGAATCCTTTTACTGAAGTTTTAATGCTTGTATAGAAATTAAAGTTTAAGTATTTTGTACTTATGTGAAAATGGCAGCCAACACAGAGCACAGGGCTAGCACACAGCCTATTGGATGAATGAAATTAACAGTTATTGAAATAAGCATGTTTTGGAGCACCCGAGTGGCTCAGTCAGTTGAGCAGCTGCCTTCGGCTCAGGTCATGATTCCAGGGTCCTGGAATTGAGCCCCTCATCAGGCTCCCTGTTCAGGGGGGAAATCTGCTTCTCTCTCTCTCTCTGCCCCTTCCTGCCTCCCCGCTCGTGTTCTCTCTCTCTCTCTTTCAAATAAATAAATAAAATCTTTTAAACAAACAAACAAATAAAGCATGTTTTTCTTATCATTAGAACCAGAGAAAATATAGTTTCTAAAACAATGTTTCACAGACTAGTCTATTAGAGTCCCTTCATGGTGATTACCTGGGGGTGGTTGTTGAGGTTACAGGTTCCTAAGAATCACTTCCCCAAACAGTCTGTTTCAGTTGCCTCACATGGGGCCCAGGAGTCTGCATTGTACCAAGGACCCTCAGATGAGTCCAAAACACACTAAAATCTGTCTCTGCGAAGAGATAGGAAGCAAAAATCATTACTTTTGAAAATGATGGCTGTTTTTTGAATTCAGAGGTAGAGTTCAGATATTTCTGGGTTTACACTCACACTCTTCAAAAGAAAGGTAATTTTTTTTTAGCCAGAGAGGAGGGCCAGTCAGGTTCATGACGAGGCAGCAGGAAACATTAGCAGTGATGTGATCCCATTCCTCGGGATGAGGGAGCTGGCCACAGGGAATGTCCTCTCAACCCTGCAGCTGAGCCTGTTTACCGTTTAGTCTGTGTTTCTGTTTGTACGTGAATTAAACCAAAGTTGCAGGGCAAAAATAGTCTGTTCTTAGCTGTGAGCTAAAGGACATGCCCAGCCAGAACTAATATCATAAATAAACAGGGCCAGCTATGAGAGACAGTGAGGCCCTAAGGCTCACTAACTATGGAAGCCATTTGGGAGAATTTAAGGCTTCATGAAAAAAGATAAGGAAAGCAATTGTCCTAACACAATATTCTGAAGAAACATCAGAAGATGTATATGTTTTTTAAAACACCATTTATTTATTTATTTATTTGAGAGAGAGAGAATCCCAAGCAGACTCCCCGCTGAATGGGCATGGGGGGCCTGCGACATGGGGTGTGATCCCACAAGGCTGAGATCATAACCTGAGCCAAAATAAAGAGTTGAATGTTTAATCCACTGAGCCACCCAGGCACCCCAGAAAATGTATGTGCTGTTAAGGAGATGTGTATGTGTTTCTAAGGGGAGATCATGTGCCTCCCTGAGGTAGAAAACTAAAACAAGGGTTGTGTCACTTGTCCAGACATCTCTTCAATGCTGGGCTCACTGGTAGTAAGTATTGCCACTGATGAAACAAAGGAGCAAAGAAAGTATTTTTTGAAGGACTTGAAATAAAGTACTAAGTAAAAAAGGGGGAGGGAGAGCAGATAAAGACTAGAAAATGACTAAGAAGACTAGGAAAAGACTAGAAAAATGAAAGAACAAAGAAAACATCTGGTTGCATTGAGATTTTGGGTTTTCAGATGCATCACTATCAACAGTTGTCCAAAAAGAACTGTGATCTTATGTTTTAATTGAATAATTTTCCATCCATCTTTTCAGTAAGGAAACAATTCTGAGACATGCGATTGAATAGTAAGCATCTTCCTACATCCTGTGTATCTGATGGTTTAAGTTGAAAATCTAGGTCACAAAGGAAAACTTCGAGGAAGGAGTCCCCTGATTCACAAAGCACACTTCTACTGAGACGTGTCCCTTTTTAGGCCATTTAAAATAAATTGACTGCAAACACGGAATTTCCAGCTCTGGCTACAAGCTTGAAGGTGAATTTACATTATTCTAGGGAACAGTGCAGCATTTGGCAGGGGGCTAGAGGATAAACGGCACCCCTCTAGGGCTGGAGGGAGTGCCAGCAGACGCTACTGCCCTGGAAATTACCTGGTGTTCTATTATGGGAACTCAACAGGTCCATTTGGAACCTGCTTTAAAGTTCCTTCACAAAAATGACAGTGGAGCCAGCTGCTTTTACTGTTATTTTGTACCCTGAGAAGCAGTAATTGGAAACATAGGTACTTAGAGGGGCCAGGCTGAAAACACATTCACGTGAAGCAGGACATGGTTAAGAATACTAAGAGCTGCAGAAAACTGTAGAGCATGGGCTCAGTCTGAAGGCTAAGAAATCTACATCTGCTACCTGGGTCAACTTCCCCATCCTCCTTGTCTGATTTTCAGGTGCAGGAATGATGGAGAAGATAACATGATCATGTTAGGAATCCTAAGCCATTCAAATCACAGGGCTCCCAGACCATTACTTGGTAAATTCTAAGGCCAAATCAAGATGACACACATTCCTAGGTTTTCTTCTTCCTCTCTTCCTTCTATCTCCATATTTTTATAAACATAAGTTATAAACATCCACCATAGGCAGGTAGGCACCATATGAATCTCTAAAGAATGAAATAGAGTCTCTGAACTTGGGGAAGTTTAGAATGTTCTAGAGAAGACAAGAAACAAACAAGAGAAAAAGCAATATGGAATACATACGCCAAGAGTTTTCTCCAGGTGGTTAGCAAATGTGTTACTATGACTCAAGATGAATTACAGATCAAAGTGAATTGAACTGCAGTGCCCTCAGATTTCTTGAACAAGATGTGACTTGAAAGCCTTAAAAAGGAACTAAGATTAACTACTTAGAGGGGAAAGGAGAGGAGAGTTTCGGTTATAGGTACAGTGTGTAGAGGCATACAAGTAGGTCAAGCTTTTACCCTTCCCTTGACCCAAACTTTAAGTTACCAAAGATGATTGGAAAATAATTGGAGAGTGTCAGGGGGAGATATTGTCCTAACTGAATGGAGAGAAGCTTTTCTTGTCCTTGTAGGATGGAAAATCCTCGTGAGTGTGTGTTGCTTATTGTCAATCCTGGATTACTAAATGCTTTGTGGCACTTGCCTGGGATTATGCCAAGGAAAGCATGAGCTCCACATTCTGGAGGAGAAGTTGAGTCTTCTACGGGATATCAGGTAGCATTATATTTGACTGAAAATAATAGAAAACACAATTCAAAATGGCTTAAACAGTAAACCATATCATCTCATGTAACAAGACATACGGAGGTTGAGAATATTCTCCAGGATTGGTTAATGCAGGGACCTGACAACATCATCAAGACCTATGTTCTCCCCAGTTTTCCTCTCTACCCATGCTCTGAGCATGTTACTTTTGTCCTCAGATTAGCTCTCTTGATGGATGCAAGATGGTTACAGCAATCCCAGGTGTCCCATCAAGACATGAAGAGGTCCCATAATGGAAGATAACATCTCCTCTGTGTGTTTTTTTTTAAGATTCAGGAAATCTTTCTCATAAAGCCTCCAGTAGGCCTTCCCTAGTGTATATTTGCCAAATTGGGTCATATGTCCCTTAAAAACCAATCGTTGTTCAGAGAAATGTGGCTGCTACCAGCTGATTCAGACTTACTGGGATTTATCTCTGAGCCACATGGGAGGAGAGAGGGACACCAGACAAACAAAGGTTCTGTTAGGAAAAAAGAAAAAGAATAGAAGGAGGTGGTGGAGATAGAGGAGGAAGAAGACGAGGAGTCCGCTAGATAGATGTGGCTTTCAAATCTGTCCGCACATTCTTTGACACTCCTCCTGTTTCAAGAAGTTGAACCTAATTCTCCCCTCCTTGAGCACTGTGCCACCCAAGCAGCCAGTGGAGAGGCCCTCATAGCAAGGAAGTGAGGCCTCCTGCCAACAGCCAGGGGAATATACCAGATTGGAAGCGGATCCCCC